AGGATGTGTGGTCCTGCTCATATGAGATGGATGTATGGCATGGAGCGATATATGAAAGTGTTGAAAGGTTATGTGAGGAACAGGTACCGACCGGAAGCTTGCATCGCTGAAACATACTAGTTGAAGAAGCAATCAAATACTGGTCTGAATATATCCCAAATGTCGAAGCTATTGGACTTCCACATACTCGTCACACTGATAGGATTGATGGTGAAGGTGTAACAGGTGGTCAACCGATGTTGATCAACCTCGAACAATGGCGACGGGTGCACTTGTGTGTTCTACATAACATAGTTGATGTTGTTCCTTATGTTGAGTTGCACAAGCAGGGTCTCACAAAAGATCATCCTGATAAAGACTCTGATTGGATTAAAGTGGAGCACAACTCTACCTTCATTGATTGGTTATCTGGTCATATTCATGGTAAGATCTCAACGAACAGTGATTCAGTATCAGAAAGGGTCAAGTTTTTGTCAAGATGACCGGATATGCATGTGTACTCTTACAAATGTTATCTCATCAATGGATACACATTTTACACTAGAGAACACGATGAGGGGAGTACTATGCAGAATAGCGAGGTTTCTCTCAATGCCAGCGCACTAAACCAGACAAATATGACATACTTTTGACAAATCATCAATATTTGTGAAATTGACTATGTCGGATTCCGAGTTCCTGTGTTGACTCAAGATTTTAAGGTAACGTTCACGTTATTACATTACTTTCAATTAGAGGATATTACAATTTAAACCAACTAATGACAACATTCAATTGTAGGAAAGAAGCAAAATAAACAAAGAGAGAGCGGAAACAATGGAGGCGCGATATAGGAAATCATGTGTGGGTTATGCGCGGCTAAGAGAGCAGATTGTATGTATTAATTATTAGATAGCGGTACATATTGTTAGTAAAGTTAATACGGAATATATGGATGCTGTTGTGAAATGTACCAGTTAATTATCTATTTGCACATCTATATATGACCAAAGTACTAATTTATACTTACCCCCTCCCCTATTGTGGGCTTGAAATTTGCAGATCGAACAAAAACTACGTGAAGGAGAAGAGGACCCTGTAGTCACTAGGTTAGATACTTGGAAGCATGCGAGGATGAATGCTGAGAACCAGGTTGATGATCCTTGTTCCTTGCGAATACTTGAGGATGTGGTAATAGCCTACTTCATTTGTTATTTGAATAATTTTCTCAGTTTTTCAAATAGACATCAGTCTTGAGTCTAATATTATAGTTGTGAAAACCAGTCATTCATTCTTCTAAAAAGGAAACATACTGTATCATTCTATTGTTTCCTCTGCTACATTTGTCTCCTACCTACTACTGTATCATTCTATTGTTTTTTACTATGTGTGGATCAGAATTGAGAAAACATAACAAAACCATGTATTGGTTGTCCAATGTTTGTATTAGGTTCGGATAACAAAAGAGTTGGAAGAAGATGAGCTGAATGATATAAAGGTTGAAGACTTGCTTGATCGAGCAATTCCTTTAGAGTATTCTGGTCGTGTGCGAGGATGTGGCTGGGGTGTTACGAAGAGGTCTTTATCTTTGGCACCCGAATTGTCTGAAATGGCAAAGTTGAAAAGGCAATGCAATCGATTAGAGAAAGACATGTAGGAGATGAAGACTAAAGGCTTTCAACCTATGGTGCCTTCCTGTTCCTCTAGTCATATGGATAATTTTGATGATGATGATGATGCCATGGATTCAGAGGACGACCTTGATGCTTCGGATGATGATCTTCCTAAGGTATATTAGATGTTCATATTGTACCTCATGGCGTTCCACTACTATATTAGATCTTCCTGATCTTCCTGAAGACTAACATATTGTACATTGCTAGGGTCCTATTACGTGTTATTTGTATGTTGAGAAACCCCGTAGACATGTCGGGCAAGGTATTTTGCATAATCGCCCAAAGGAGATTCTTCATGGAGTTCCACTACCAGAAGGTTAGAGGGATGCGAGGCAAAATTATATAACTCTGATCTTTATTTGAAAATGTGATGGTTATACTGTCTTGATGTCTCTTACAAAAATGTACATTGAGTCCATTGATCTTCATTCCAGTAGAGTCCATTAATGTTGAATGCAATATTGAATGTAGCATGCATACAAAGTAAACATTCTATCTGTTTGTTTAGAAAACAATGATTACAAAAAGTAATCCCTCATATTTTAGCCATTTTTTCTGTAAATTGAGAAAGCTAATTGTTACTGCAGAATCTTTAAACTGTGGTATTATGGGAACTAGATGGGTTATTGGTTAGGTTTGTATATCTTTTACTGAGGTTGTTTGTAGTTACCTGTTAAATTTTATTTTAAAAAAGTACACATTCTATCTGATATAGATTTTATTTGAATAATTTTCTCAGTTTTTCAAAGAGACATCAGTCTTGAGTCTAATATTATAGTTGTGAAAACCAGTCATTCATTCTTCTAAAAAGGAAACATACTCTATCATTCTATTGTTTCCTCTGCTACATTTGTCTCCTACCTACTACTGTATCATTCTATTGTTTTTTACTATGTGTGGATCAGAATTGAGAAAACATAACAAAACCATGTATTGGTTGTCCAATGTTTGTATTAGGTTCGGATAACAAAAGAGTTGGAAGAAGATGAGCTGAATGATATAAAGGTTGAAGACTTGCTTGATCGAGCAATTCCTTTAGAGTATTCTGGTCGTGTGCGAGGATGTGGCTGGGGTGTTACGAAGAGGTCTTTATCTTTGGCACCCGAATTGTCTGAAATGGCAAAGTTGAAAAGGCAATGCAATCGATTAGAGAAAGACATGCAGGAGATGAAGACTAAAGGCTTTCAACCTATGGTGCCTTCCTGTTCCTCTAGTCATATGGATAATTTTGATGATGATGATGATGCCATGGATTCAGAGGACGACCTTGATGCTTCGGATGATGATCTTCCTAAGGTATATTAGATGTTCATATTGTACCTCATGGCGTTCCACTACTATATTAGATCTTCCTGATCTTCCTGAAGACTAACATATTGTACATTGCTAGGGTCCTATTACGTGTTATTTGTATGTTGAGAAACCCCGTAGACATGTCGGGCAAGGTATTTTGCATAATCGCCCAAAGGAGATTCTTCATGGAGTTCCACTACCAGAAGGTTAGAGGGATGCGAGGCAAAATTATATAACTCTGATCTTTATTTGAAAATGTGATGGTTATACTGTCTTGATGTCTCTTACAAAAATGTACATTGAGTCCATTGATCTTCATTCCAGTAGAGTCCATTAATGTTGAATGCAATATTGAATGTAGCATGCATACAAAGTAAACATTCTATCTGTTTGTTTAGAAAACAATGATTACAAAAAGTAATCCCTCATATTTTAGCCATTTTTTCTGTAAATTGAGAAAGCTAATTGTTACTGCAGAATCTTTAAACTGTGGTATTATGGGAACTAGATGGGTTATTGGTTAGGTTTGTATATCTTTTACTGAGGTTGTTTGTAGTTACCTGTTAAATTTTATTTTAAAAAAGTACACATTCTATCTGATATAGATTTGATATACCTAGAGAATACAATTTCAGGTTATGCGAGGATACAATTTGAGGTGGCGGTAGAATCCGAGAGACATTCAACAGTGCCGCAACGTACTGACGAGGTTAGGACGGTAGGAGAAGCTGTTGGACATTTCATTTCATGGCCAAAGAAGCTAGTGTCTTTGAAAATAGAGGTAAAATGATAGGACAAGCTGGTGTCTTTCATGAGCATTTTTAGTACTGTTGTTTTATGCATGTTCTTGTTTTATGGACATTTTTAGCAATGCTTTCATGTGATGATGAATACTAGCAATAATGCTTTCATGTACTGATGAATACTAGCAATGCTTTTATGTACTGATGAAAATGTTAACTTTCTTTCAAAATTGTTTGCAGTGCCCACCTCCTAAAATGAACACAGACAAGAGTCAGAAACTTCCTATAGGGGGTAATAAGCCTACTTTGAAAACTGTGGAGTCAACCGTTTGTGCTAAGAAACTAGGTTATCCCAAGAATGGAGATTCTCCTCACAATTCAATGGTGTTGCATATTTTGCGTTTCGCACCCTCGACTATTTTGAGCGACATCGAAGTTCCTATAAGGGCATATTTTGATGGACCACATTGGGATGAATGTATTGTTCATGAAAATATCTTGGAGATTTTGGAGGATCAATGGCTAAGTGCCACAAGCATTGCCTTTTATCTAAGGTAACAAAAATAGTAAAAATTGTCCATCTTATATGATTTAAATGTTCTAGAAACTTACGTATTATTCATTGTTTAAGGTATTTGGGTGAAGTTTATCTTTCCGAAAATGCTGAGTTAGTCAGCAAGTTCTCTTTTCTATCGCCCCACATTGTGCCCATCATAGGTAGTGGAACGTCGTCCAATCATTTGGCAGAACCTTTGTTGAAGCATGCAGAAAAAGACCACATATTATTGATGCCACATAATGTTGGGTGAGTGCAATATAATGTTTAGTTTATATTTATTAAATATGAAATTTTCTAAACTTTTTGAAACATTATGTAGTAAACATTGGGTATTAGTTGCTATCAATACCAAAACAGAGATGATATACTTCATGGATCCAGCACCGAATTCGAAAATTTCACAGCGTATTGATTTGAAAAACTTTGTTGAAAGGTAAATACATCTTCTAGTTTATTTATATTATAAATTATATATATATATATATATATACATGTGTATAATATTGTTACTTTATACAAAATAGTGGTATGAAAAGTTATCGGACTCTTCGAGGTGGCAAAATTAGTAAGACTGCATACAACAGATTCAATTGGTCGAACATCCAGGTAATTACTTTACAATATTAAAAATTAGTATATATAAGATATGGTAATAAATTTTATATATATAATTGAATATTTTTTTTCGATAGTGTCCAAAGCAGATGGATGACATTCATTGTGGTCATTATGTTTGCTGCTTCATTAAGGATATCTTGGCTTTTGGTGGTACCAGTATTCCTGTTTATGTAAGAAATGATTTTAATGAATTACTTATACATTCTTGATTTTTGAAGTATTTTATTTCATCTAATTATATTTTATACTTTTGTGTTTTACAGTTTGTTCATAGTCAGCCACTCAAATTTTATCCTCCAATGAAGATGGAGAATTTTAGATTCAATTGGGGAGGATATTTGTATAACCGGTTCCTCAAGGACAAGATGTCAAGTTGAAGGACAACATTTAGGATATTAGTTATGATTGTGCTACTAACTAATTTTTGTATTTCCACTTTAACAGTTATATATAATGTTTTGACTGAATGATTGCAATATATATATTTTGTATGAATGGATATTATTTTTGTCCTTTTGTTAGATTGTTATTGATGGATAGAAAATCGTTATTTATGTAAGTATTTAAAAGACCTAGAAAATTAGGTATCAAACAAAAAAAAAAATTAAAAAAACAGATGCAAAAACTCAGTTAGCGCTTCTTTAAACGCTATAGGGTAAATATATAGTATTTTTTTTGGAACTGGCATAGCGCTTTTTAAAGCGCTATTGTAGTTCAAACAGCTAACTTCAATAGCGCTTTTTTAGCGCTATCATAGCTGTTTTTTTTTGAACTACAATAGCGCTTATTTATGTGCTATAGAAGCAAACGATTTTTTTTAAATGCTTGGGTAGCGCTTTTATAAGCGCTATCTTATAAAGCGCTATTATAGTCGAGCCTTCGGATAGCGCTTTTTTAAGCGCTATTGTAGCTACCATAGCGGTAGCTTGGATAGCGCTTAAAAGTGCTATCCAAGCCCAAATTTAAGCGCTATTCAAGCAAAAATCTGTACTAGTGCTTGTTTAACGTGGGTTCTTCGGTAGCGATAAGATGCCTCTCTCGAATGCTTGCGTCGAGTTTGCTTCCTTTGGATGATCCGATCGAGGTTGTGGTTGAGATTTAGTATGCAATAGAAGCTCTTGTGTGATTGAGTTTGATAAATACCAGAGCTTGATGAATATCAATGCCGAATGCTTGGAGAAGGCTAATATGCAAGAGTTTGCAAAAGAGCCAAGAGTCTCAAATCTGAGAGTTCGGATTGAGTCTACTTTAACAATATAAGAAAAAAGCTAGGAAAGTTCCACCAAGCAAGCTAATAAAGACCTCTGTTTGAAGAGTCTTGGAAATGCCAAGATTCTCTATCCAATTTGTAAGTTGAACCAGCCGAACCGAACAACCCCCGCTAAACCCCTTTCATGTTGGCAAAGAGGTCCTATAAATAGGCAATGGATGACATGAGCAATCCCTTTATTTGTGGGAAGAAAAGGGATGACATGGGCAATCCCTTGATTAGTGGGATGTGACCACTAATAGGAGTAAGGAATAGCATACTCCCCCTATAGCTATGTGATGTGACTACTATAGGGGTGATGGGAGCCATGCCTCATTACCCAAGACGTGGGAAGTGGGTAGGTCCACTCCCACAAGCAAGCAACCACTTGCACTATTTAGGTGAGGCTGACGGGCTTATAGGCGAGCTTGAGAGCTATTTGAACGTTCAAGCAAGCTTGCAGGTGATCTTGGCGAACATGCATCATCGGCTGGCGGGCTCCTCGAGCGTGTGAGCTGGCGTTCATTGGCAAGATGAGTTCGTGCAGGCGAATTCACTGTAGGAAAGCTTGACTCGTGTGGGCAAGCAACGTGTTCAAGTGAGGTCGAGCTCGTGTTGGCGAGCTCGATAATCAAGGGAGCTTGACTCGTGCTGGAGAGTCAAGCAAACATGCGAGATTGGCGAGGTTTGGCACGTGCAGGCGAGCCAAACAAACATGAGATCTTTGTCTTGCAGGCGTGCTCAGCTTAGCCTCTTGAGTGCATGCGAACGTTTCTTGTGCTGGCAAGTTAAGCACTGCAGGCGAGCTTTGGCTTGCAGACGAGCAAAGCGTGTTGGCGAGCTTCGGCTTGCAGGCGAGCTTTGCTTGGCCTTTTGCTTGCTTTGAGCATGCAGGCAAGATCTCCTTAGCCTTTTGCTTGCTTTGAGCACACAGGCGAGCTTACTCTGGCCTTTTGCTTTCTTTGAGCACGCAGGTGAGCTCTTCTTGGCCTTTTTCTTATTGCACGCAGGTGAGCCCTAATGGACGAGGTTTGAGCTCTCTTGTGTAAAGGCAATTTTTATTTCCTACAAAACCCCCTTTAAAGTTTTTAGACCTAAATCAGGTTGAATGTGGTCTGGAACACTTTGAATGAATATGATCACTGTTCATTGGTTTGGGCAAATTTGAGCTCCTAGGTTGAGTTGAGCTCTTCAGGTGAGCTCGATAAAGGATGTTGCCTGGCAAACTTCATGCTTGCAGGCGAGCCGGATCACTACAGGTGAGGTCCAAGTCGGTGGTAGGCAAGCCACGTATCTGCGGGCGAGCTCTTGCACTTGCCAGCTAAGGCGACGCCTCGTCTTTACGCGCTCGATCTGAGCCATGGATTTGGTGGCGTTCTCGATCTCAACCATTGATTCAACAAGAGATCATGCTCAAACTACTAGATTTTGGCCGTTCATGCGGAATTCTGAACGTCCCACCTTGCTCGTGGCCATTCGATTCGAACTGTCGAATCGAACTGTCTGCAGGTGATCTGAGCCGCTCGCTTCACGGAGCTGGCAAATCTCGACCATTAAGACTTCACCTATATAGTGTGCTCGTCTCCCTTATCAGGCGATCGCTGTGCTATCGAACTCTTTGCTCAAGTTTTTGAAGAAACTCAGATCTCTCATCCTCATTTCTCTTCGAACTAAGAGTGAAGGTGGCTGCTTTGAAGGGGAAGAAGGAAGCCTCTCCTTCCTCCATTCCCTGCACCACTGTTGCTACTGTAGCCACTCTTGATGTGCCCCAAACCCACCGTGGTAAGCCTAGGGGACCGTAGGATAGCATTGAGGTAACGAACATGACCGTAATGAGTAAATGAATAATGTCTGCTTATTTTTGTGGCAAACTTCATCTACTCAGGTGAAGTTCTGCTAATCAATCAAGCTTGCCAGTTAGGCGAGCTCTACTTTGACAGGAGAGCTTCTGTTCTCGTCAGGTGAGCTCTGCTTGATGGGCGAGCTCTGCCTTGTCAGGAGAGCTCCAACCTTTGTCAGGCGAATTTTGCTTGATAGGCGAGCTTTGTCAACTTGCCTGCATGATAGGGCTCACCTGCTCTTTGCAAGCCGCCTGTTCTCAAGACTTAGAAAACTCTCGACCTATTAATTCAAAGTTTTTAATTTCCTATTGTTGTATTTTGTAGTTCGAGAAGAAGTACTAACTGTTGTGCCTTGTACCCTAATATCTTCTAGCAAGAAACCCCTCACCACAGAGGAGGCGGCCCAATGTGAGGAGATCGCTCGCAAGAGGAGAGCAATGAAGTCTGAGCCCATTAATCCCGAACCCATCATAATCTCCAATGATGAGGGAGAAGTGCAGTCCCCTCGAGCATCCATTCTGCAATTCCCTCCACAGTCTTCGCCTAAGCCTGGTTTCCCCAACCCGGCAAGCATAATGGGTGGAAGAAGTCCACCAGTTGATGACTTGGAGCCTATCCCTCAGATTTGACCTATCGTCATGATTTTTCCAGGCTAGGAGTCTGCTTCCCCAGACTCCGGCTCAATGCAGGGCCTCATTCAACGGTTGGAGAATGTAATGAAACAAGCGATCTGCATCATTAGCCTTGGGCGAGGCGCCTTCATAGAGTTTGACGCCTTCATAGTAAACAGCTTGAAGGACATTCAATGCGCAGGTGGTGATCAACTGGTCAGGCGTTGCGAACAGAAACTCATTCGCCTGGAGGAGAGCATGCTGCGCTTGGAGAAGATGGTCTTCTCCGATGAGGTTAATGAGGTAGTGCGACTCATCGGCCAAGCTTGGATCAAAAGGATGCATGAGCATGAAGCTCGAGAGAAGAGTATATTGTAAAAGGAGGCCCTCATCATCGATCTGCTTGGGCGTCAACACTAGTTGTAGGTCGCGATGGATGCTTCCGTCTTCGCCATCACTCGAATGAAGTCCCAGCTTGTTGAGGAAGAGTCAGCTCTTAAGGGCTTGCGGTTTGAGAGCGTGAATGTTCATCGCACTGTTAAAAGAGAAATGCAAGCTCTCCATGCATTGCATCAAGAGGAAACAGTTGCTACTACTGCATCTTCTGAAGCCGAGATCGAGAAGGAGGCAGAGGATCAAGTTCGAGCGGACCAGGCAAAGGAGTTAGCCACCGTTAAGGCTGAGCTCGCATCTTTTAGTTTGTTGGATTAAGCCCTAGGAGGTTAATTTTGAGATATTTTTGTTATATTTATTCGAACGTATTGTCATGACTTTGTTTGAAATGTATTGTCATAACTTTGTACGAATGTATTATCTTAAAATCTACTATTATGAATGAAATTATGCCTTTATCATCCAATCATTGCGTTTGGAATAACTTGTGCATTTTTCCTTCTTGTCGACCAACACTTAGAATTACTGGTTAAATCAGGCTAGCCATACTATTCCCCCTAGTATGATGAGTTTTCAAGAAGTTTTTTTAGTCTAAATGCTAAAATTTCTTCTCTACCCTTAGCCGTTTGAGGCGTTGGGTTAGGTTAATTATAACTGTTAAGTCGTAATTAGGTTGGGCCGTGTCGTTAAGTGTAACAACTTAGCCTAAAATGGCCAATCACTTGCGTAAGTAATTAGGGGGGGGTGTCCGAATAACAACTCTTCGCTTAGTAGGTCACCATTCGGGAATCGATAAGGCACATCGCTTGGTAGGCCGTTATCGACGAATAATGTCATTTACGGGAATGATGGTGTTGAGATAATCAAATCGTTCAGGGATGTAGGAGTGTGACGATTGATTGATATAGTAGCGCATCACATGATAGGCTACTACCCATCGATTATTCTAAGAATATTAGAACGTACGGAATGGATCAGATCATTCAAGGGCGTATGAGTATAACAACTGATCGTACAACGTCATTTGCGGGAATGACAAAATCAACTATCAGAGGTAATCATTAATGTTGTGGACCCACCATCCTATTGGAGAGGATTATTGAAGGATTTTGTCAGAGGTTTAATGTTAACATGACGGGGTTGTCGAGATCGGAGCAACTTTGAGGACTTACCATCCTATCGAAGATGATTGGCAAGCTGATTTCTAGAGGTGTGATATTAACTTGATAGTATTTGGATACTTGTGATTTGAACAAGATTTTGGGGACCCATCGCTCTATTATAGAGAGTCGATAAGTTAATTTTGTCAGAGGTGATTGTTAACATGACAGTGAGAATTTGTTGTGATTTTGAGCAACTTTGTGGACTTACCATCCTATAGAAG